AATGCGGTTCAAACTTTGGATAGTTTATGAGAAATTACGTGCATGATAAAATATGCAATAAAGTAAAAATAAAGAGAGAATTTACAGATGATATATGATAAAGAGATAAAGAGTATATTATTACATAAGGATTTCTTTTTTCATTGCATATTTTTAAACTAAATTAAAAACAATAATAATAATGAATAAAATATAAAATGAAAACAATAATAATAGGTAAAATAAGAATATAATGATTCGAGATTAAATATAAGAAACACGTTTCAAACTGAGAAAAGCTAACTAAATTATGATACTGTCTACGGGTGAGGTTCGAACTCATTAGCTTTCCATTTGCAAAGTAGCGCGCTGACCACTCAGCTATCCGTGATAGCAGTTTTTGTGAAAAATAATGTAACAAGTAGAAGTCGCTTCAAAGGTAATTTAATTAAACTTCAATAAATGATTGCTGTATGACACAAGTTGTAACTCTCCTCCAAAATTTCGTAACTGTATTTTATTGAATACTCTTTCACAGTCAAAATGCTTTATTTTAGAAGTTGTTATATTGCTGAAGTTAGTTTTTGGTGTATTTAATATTGAGATATTTATACAGCTTTTTATTACACATAATCTAGCCAATATTTATAATAATTAAGGAGAATTTTGTAAGGCAGAAAATTTGATTTCGTAGAAACTGTAATTTATTTAGGTTCCTATTACTTACGGTGTTATAAATAGGTGAAGCATATGGATATACTGGTCGGATCATTGCTTTATAAATATACAGTTTTCCCCTTTAATAAGAATTTTAAATTTATACCAATATATACGGTTTGAGAAATCTGAAGATGGCGTGAACAATGGTGATAATTTTATTGCTGTATACAGTTATGATATTTCTAAGCAAAAACTCATCTCTGTGTGGTTCTGACGTCATATTGAAACGGGTAAGCAAGCTTCACCTATTTATAACACCGTAAGTTATAAATAGGTTTAATTTCTGATTATGACACGTGATAAGAACTCGGTCGGCTATTGGCTATACGCGAGCGTCGCGGGCGAAAAAGCTGAACAGGAGCGTTTTACGTCTTCTGCGTCACGCGAATTTACGCCGGCGTCAAAAAAGTTGCGTTAACTACGTCGCGAGCGCCCTCGTGTGGACGGACCTTTACGGCCGCCCTGCAGAAGTTTCACTTGAACGCGCTAGACGCGTTACAGACAACGAAGAGGTTAATGTTTTTTTTTTTTTTTTTTTTTTTTTTTTTTTTTTTTTTTTTTTTTTTTTTTGTTTTTTTTTTTTATTTTTTTTTTTTTTTTTTTTTTTTTTTTTTTTTTTTTTTTTTTTTTTTTTTTTTTTTTTTTTTTTTTTTTTTTTTTTTTCTTTTTTTTTTTTTTTTTTTTGTTTTTTTTTTTTTTTTTTTTTTTTTTTTTTTTTTTTTTTTTTTTTTCATTTTATGCTGTTTATTTTCACGTTATACGCAATTCTGTTTAAGTCTCCAGTATGTCATTATCTGATAACTTACAAAAGTTTAATATTGTTTTCATTTCTGTATATAATTATTGATTTTCTTTTATGCATATATGCTACTTTCTACCTAATTTTGTGTCAATCAAAGCAGTACTTGTTGATTTTTTTGCATTTTAGATCTTCGTGCTTAACTTTTGGAAGTGGGTGTATTTGCTTATAATAAGCCTTGTTATTATTTCTAATATGTTAATATTAATTTGCATATCCACTTTAGTATATCCGTCTCGCACAGTTTGTTTAATAGGTATTGTGGTACAATATAAACGACATAATAATGATTATATGTAAGTTGATTTGAATCATGCCTGTAATATACACTGAAGAGCCAAAACATTATGACCACATATTCAATAACGTGTTGCGCAACCCTTGGCTTGCAAACTAACTGCAACTCGCATTCGCATGGATGCCACAAGTTCTTGGTCGGTGACTGGAGGTAGTTTGTACCAAATGTCTAAGCAGAGGTGATGCAAAATCGAGATATTCCGACATGATGGTGTCTGAGCTGAGAAATTCCGCCAAATGTGCTCTATCGGGTTAAAATCCGGGTGAGCTAGGTGGCCAGGACATTAATTGGAATTCATCCTTATGCTCATCGAAACACTCCAACACAATTCGAGCCTTGTGAAATGGGTTGTTGTCCTGCTAGAAGATGCCACTTCCAGTTGCAAAGATATAAGCCATGTAAGGGAGAAACTGATCCGCAGTTATGTTTAGATAGTCCACAGCTTTTATGGTCTGTTTTACTACAACTACTGGTCCCATTCAGTCTCGATGTTTCTAGGTCCGCAGTAGGCGTAGTTGACAATGACTCTTAGTCAACAGAGGAACACGAATGAGACGTCTGCTGAGCAGTCCCATGTGCGACAGTGTATGTTGAACTGTATACTTCGATCTGCATTGTAATGGGCTATTAACGGAGCCACTGTCTGGAACCGATTTTTCTGTACTAAGCAGGACCCTCCGACGCCCTTTTTCTTTGCTGACGCGTGGACATCCAAACCTTGGCGTCTACTGTCTATCTAATTTATCCACTTTGCATAAATACTAACAGTGGCAGATAGTGAATAAGCTATAAGTCGTGCAATATCGGAGATACTCTTTCCGAGCCGGAGATTACAATATGACCTTTCTCAAATTTTCTCAGATCAGCAGCCTTTCCCATCATTCGCAAAAGTAAATGCAAGAATGTTTCCTTAACTTCTCCAGGAGCAGTTAAATACCATTCTCACTTAATCACGTGCTCGAGCAGTTAAATACCATTCTCACTTAATCAAATGCTCTTCACGTCTCCAGACGAGCTCATTGAAAAATGTTGGGATGGTGATAATGTTTTGGTTCTTCCGTGTATATTTTATTACTTAGGAATAAAAATTGATAAATTACTGTCGAACTGCTTGAGTTTATATTACTTAAATTATATTTTCAGTAATAATTTATCAATGGTAATAAATTTAAGTTATAATTTATTGAGTCAAAAGAATAATTTACTCAGGTCATGGGATACTTCTATGGCTACATCTATGTACATTTTTAAATATAGATAAGCATATGTATGCATAAACTCGTGTGCAAAATTATTTCACAATATGTTGAACTTCTGAAAAACTAATGAATAGATTTTAATGAAATCTGGTTTGACTCTACATTTATAAAAGGGAAACAGATGTAATTGGGGAGGGCAATAAAGGCAATTCAGGAGTCCCAGGGTAGATGTCCCACTCCTGCAGCAAGGTTATTTTAACCTTTTCCAGGGGGCTGGGACATATATGTCCCGCACGTTCACTACTTTAAATGTGTCTAAAAAAATTCAGTAAACTATGGAGATTTAAAATTTACTCTTCAATATGGATTAGGAAGTGCAAGACCCTGTCGATTTGTTTTTCTGTTCCTTTCATTTAAAATAAGTGACTAAATGGCCATAATACGTTCGAATTTAGCACCTATAGCCCACGGGAAAAGGTTAACTCTATGATGGTTCTCGAAGGGGATGGCGAGATGAAATTACCGTCCCAAATATGCCCTAGACATGATGTGTACAGTTAAGGTGAGGAGAACTGGATGGCTAGTTCATGCAGCGAATACCCTCAATTTTACAAGTAATACTATTTGAGTACCATGTGGGCAAGCATTATGTGTCGTCCATTAATACGAACCCAAACCAAATGCACTCCTGAAAAGTCAAACATATGGCCTAAGATTTCCTTTCAATACATCAAAGCAGTCAAGAAGCTTTTGTCAAACACATGTAGATGTGTGCGGCGGTCCAACTTAATGCCTTCTCAAAACATTACATCCCCTACCGTAATGATCCTTTTCCGTCATGAGAGAGGAATGGTATCGTGTTCCAGGCTCTCTCAAGATATAGCTACGATAGGAACCAGTGTCTAGGATGAATCTTGACTCATCTGAAAAAGGTACGGTGCTCCACGGAAGTTTGATCCAAGGCGGATATTTTCTGCATCATACTAATCTTCCCCCCTCGCTGCAGTAAGCGGATGCAAACAGTGGGTTTTCTGGCATACAGCATCTCAGGAAATCTTCGGGCTGCTGTAGACAGTGAAATTCTGGTTCCAGTGGCAGTATACAGGTCACTGAGAGTTGTAAAGCTCTAACAGTTCTATGCTGCTTCCTTGAAAGTGCCAGATAACGATCCTCATTCGTCGTTGTGGATGTTGGTTGACCTTCTTGATACAGATCTAGAGCCCCAAACCTGTGTGAGCCCCAAACCTGTGTAAGCCCCAAAAAAGCTTACAGACGACACACTGATCTCTGTAGCTACCTGCGCTTTTAATTGATCTGTCTCCAGCCTACCGGCAATTCTTCATCTCATTTCGCCATCATTACGTTCGCGGCTATTTATTTTACCTAATACCTTACAAAATTTCCCCAACGCCTGCTAGAAGCAAGGCGAAAATCGTGAAGAAACACGAGAATACAAATCTCCGAAAACCCCTCTTACACTTATATCCTCTCCACAATCACGGCTGCACAAACACGTAATGTGTATATTTATGTATTCGACTCTGAATATTTATATTATTCCTTTGGCATCATAATTAGTACCTTTGGTTCCATAGTTTTCATAAAAATAGAGATACTAATTCAGAAGTCAAACAACAAAAATCAGCGTTATATTTTCAAAATTTTCACAGGACTAGTTTCGATGGTTTTACAGAACCACCATCCTCAGCTGCAAAACCGGTTTGCAAAGACCCTAGTTTATCGCTATGAGCGAGTTTTAATGATTCATACATAATGATGTAAATTTGATTACATATATTCTAATAACAGAAATACATGAATCAGATTTGCATGTGGAATTATTCACTATGCAATTCTATATATCTCTTCACAAAATGTTGTTATGTATTAACATTCATAAATATTTCGACTGTATTTCTTTAACCAAACTGTACAGGATCAGGCAAATGCAAATTGTCAGAAAATAATTTTCATCTTAATTTTCGAAGATATTCACGTTTCTTACCTCCTTTGACACTGACGTCCCTGCTCCCAATCGCTCCAACAGCGTTACTAGCCACGCATCTGTACGTTGTAGTATGGACGTCAGGTCTTTGATCCTCCCCTCTGAAAGGTGGAAAAACCAGTGAGCCATCGGGTCTGACGTGTCGTAGTCCAGGAATATCTGTAATGAAACTGCCGTCAAGAGCATGTGTCCACCGAATTGAAGGGGCTGGAATGCCTTCTGCTGAGCAAGGAATCACTGTTCCTGTTGAATTAGAGAACTCAACGCTACTAGGAGGCTCATAAGTGAAAACTGGACCCCTTCGGTCTTGACTTGTTCCCACTGAAGCTAGAAAATAAAAAGAGAATTAGTTGAAAATACTTCTTTAAAAGAAGTATACCTATAAATATTTGCTCAGATTTTCACTGTATGCATCACTTAAGCATTTTCTTCATAATATTTCTTGTTATAAAATAATAATTACTTAAGCGTGATGTTTTCATGTGCAGCACTAGAAAAATATACGAAAATACTAACTTTGATGATAACATAATTATGGAACGTGAAATCAAAATAAGGCTTTCAATTCGTATAAAATGTAACCTTTTTTATTCCCAACGATTTGCAAAGTTATATACCCGCGAAAGAAAGTTATGGACATAAAGAAACTGCAAAAATGCTTTAAAATATAGAACATGTAAAGTGATTTCTGATACATTTTAGATTTGCCATTGTTTGCACACTAAACTAATCATTTTTGAAACATTTAGACTTGAAATACACTAACAATGGAAAAATATTTAATTTGAATATTAAAATTTTTTTAATGAAATTTAGGCTATAAATTTCTCTTAGGTTCACAAATTCTTCTTTCAGTGAAATTTAAAAACCAAATTTATTTGAAAGAAGATTATATCATTTTTAAAACGTACACTCTTAGACAAAAAAAGGATGCACCACGACGCAGCACCGAGAAGATATAAAGGAAATTGGACACAAATTGATATGCATGCAGGTTTCGACAGAAAATGCAAAATTTTACATTTTGGCTGCCAATGAATGAACGGTTATCGCTATAGCGCATCTGATCTGCGCAACTGGCAGAATATTTAAGAGGAGAAATTACGATTCCAGGTCATAAATTCTTCACGAATGTCATTCAGTGTACTCCGTAGACAGTAACTATGTCTCGCATACAGGTGCGCGAATGATATGCGCAGATGTCAGAATTTAAGAGAGTTCGTGTAGTTGGGCTCAAGCCGGTTGGTCTTATCGGCGAAAAGCTCGACATTTGAGCAGGAGCGATGCCACTATTAGAGGATGTTGGTAGGAATGAGTGAACTATGACCGCACACAGCGTCAAGAAGGAAGCGGTAGACCTAGAAACGACAGAACGTGAAGACCGAGCAATCGTCAGAGCGGCACTCACAGCCCCAGATGCATCATTATCATCGATTGTACGTGCAACTAGTGCTTCAGTGACCGCAAGGACCATTCATAGACTGCTCACTGAAAGAGGGCTGAGGTCACGACGCCCCTTTGCGCAGACTGCCATTGACCTCAGTACAACGTCAAGCCCGTTTGCAGTGCTGTTGGACTCTTTTGCACTGGAATGTCACTAACTGGAGTAGAATAGTCTTCAGTGATGAGTCCCGCTTTGAACTGAGCCCCCATGACCAGCGAAGGCGAGTTTGAAGACGCCCCCGGACAGCGGTGTGATACCAACCTCACTGTCTTCCAGCAGACAGGCCAATAACCAGGAGTGATGCTCTGGAGTACCATTTCATTTCATAGAAGGGCCCCTTTGGTTGTCATCCGTCGCAACCTTACAGCGCAGCGGTATGTCGACGAATTTCTAAGGCCTTTTGTGTGCCCTTCATGTCACGCCACTCTGGGATGACATTTCAGCAAGATAATGCCCGTCCCCACACTACACATGTTTCTACTGCTTGCCTTAGTGTTTACGAACATTACCTTGACCAATGGGCAGGGCCCTCCAATCAGCTCGGCATGTTGACGATCTAACGCGTCAATTGGACAAAATTTGGCACGATATTCCTCAGGAGGGCATTCGCAACCTCTATCAATCGATGCCAAGCCGAATAACTGCTTGCATATAAGGGCCAGAGGTGGACAAACACGTTACTGTCTTTCCGCTTTGTGAAGCTCAATCACTTCAATAAATCATCCAATGTTTCTCAAACTGTAATCATTTGTTTTTCTGTACATCGCTTCTACCGATTTTCGTCCCATTCGGATAACTCCTTCTTGGTGCGTCTGTTTTTTTTTTTTTTTTTTTTTTTTTTGGTTTGTTTTGTTTTGTTTTTTTGTCTAAGAGTGTATATAGCATATATTTCGAAATTAAAATTAAAGAAATTGGGCCATATTAAGTTATATAAGGTATTTTTCAGTCATTGTTATTGGGTGAAATTTCTAGTTATCGAGTCTGAATCCATAATTTCCGAGAAAATAGTTCACAGCAACAAAGGTTTCAAACGATTCTTGATGGAGTATTCATGAGTCGAAGGATTTGCATATCTCTCAACAGACTCTTTTGCAGCAAATAAAAATACATAAATATGCTCTTCTGCAAAATATAAATATGTATTATGCCATCAAGTTGTCTTCTATTTTTGTGTAATTGCTGATATCCAGGCTACGAACGTTGCTATGGAAACGCTTGCTCTTAAACTGCATTTTCTGATGCAACGCGATATGGTTTCAACTTTGAAAGACATACGCTACTTTGATACAAATATGAGGAGCTGTATAACTCCGAATTAAAAAAATACTACTCCATAAATAAATTGTCTTTTAATCCGTAATAAAATTTTTTATTCATATTCTAATACGACTGTTCCCGTCGTAATATTAAGTTCAAATATTCCTTTATCATAATTCTCTGTATTTTTCAAAATACAGATGCAGAGATTCTATCGAAAATAATTCACTAAATAACACGTTCGTGAGTCGTTCAAAACTATGTACGGAATTTTATTAGACTGTAATAAATTGATTTTTCAGCAGAGATGAACCAGAATGGGTATAAAAAGAAGAAAAATCACAATTATTTTCTTTTCTCTGCGGCCTGTATTGAGTACGGAAGGTATGGTTCCGCTGCGAACGCTAGAACGAAAAATGCCGTCTCAGGAAGAGAAGACGTTTGCGTCTCGCAGTATCCGAAATATGAATATGTAATTTTGGTCACAATTAATTTCATATCACAATTATTTTCTTTTCTCTGCGGCCTGTATTGAGTACGGAAGGTATGGTTCCGCTGCGAACGCTAGAACGAAAAATGCCGTCTCAGGAAGAGAAGACGTTTGCGTCGCGCAGTATCCGAAATATGAATATGTAATTTTGGTCCAGCGTGAGTTTTTTAGAGGATTTTCAAAAGATTGTCCCCGTGACAAAACTATTATTGTATCCCTAATTTGAAGAAACAAGCTGTTTTTATAAAGGCAGAAACAGACGGAGGTCTCGTGATAGCAGAAAGGGCCCACCAGCGGCTGAGTGGTAAAGTCGCTGAACACTGGTAGTTCGGTCCGAGGTTCGAATCCCGCGAACGGGCTGGCTGCACGGACGTTTTCGTGGTTTTCCCCTTGTGTAACGTGTATAAGAGCCAGTTTCCCTTACAAAGTCCTCCACGAAGGCATCCCTCCCCCTAGGCAGATAGCCCTAGTGTGCTTTGCCGTAATCTTAATAAACCAAACCATACCAAACGTGATAGTAGAAAGAATGTAGTATGAGCGAATGGCGTTTTGCATAAATAGACAGGTCAAATGTGAACATTCAGAATGTTTTTCTTTCGCCTCATATTGAGTGATAAGGCAACGTTCCATATTAGCAAGAACATTTATCTGCACAATGTGCTCATCTGGAGGACAGTAAAACCTTTCAATGTACCGTAGAACATGAACAATATTCTGTTAAAGGGAATGTGTTTTGTGCAGTTTCGAAAACCTAATTGTTTGGGCCGTTCTCTTTCCTGGAAAAGGTAATGAAAGGCTATACATATCTGGATTTTCCCGCAATTACAGGAATTCCTCAAAAATGTGATTCATAATTATTGGATTGGCAAGCCGGAAAAAAAGACAAAGATATGTTTGCTTGGCCTCCCGCGTCACCGGACGTTCTCCATGTGACTTTTCTTGTGGGCTTTGTGAAAAACAAAGTGTATGTGCTACCATTGCTACGCAACTTTGAGGATATATGAGCACACGCAGGTAATTATGTGAGCTTAGTATCAGCAGACATGCTCAAACGAATGTGGAAAAAAATGGACTATCGTCTGGACGTTATTCGTGTGACTCCGGGAAGTCATATCAGACATTTATAATGTCATGAAATGAAACTACTTATGTTGTTCTTTGCTTTAAATTTGTGATGGTAAATGTTTGTTTTTAATAGACTTTATTCTAATATGTTAAATTAGTGTGCATCACTTTGAAAAACACTGTATATTTATGTAAGACATTGTTAAAATATCTGTATCATTGAATAATATGTGCATATTTTAATGTGTCAAAAGAAATTTCAGTAGATTTTTAAAATGCACTGGAATGATAATTATATGTTCCAGAAAAACTGTTGTTAAGTTGATTATTATTTAAGTTATTCAGTCTTTTTACTGTTTTAATGACTACTAAATTTCAGCTGTGTTCAAGTAGCTGTAAGTTCTTAAAATGAGAAAAATAAATTATACGTAGTCATGTGCAGCAAAATCCGTATTACATTTAGTTCATCTGTAATGTTCAATAATTAATTGGAAATAATAACTGAAAGCATTTTTTCAATGAAAGACATCATATTATTAACGCTATACGTTAAGACGGACAAAGATTAAATGGTTAGTTAAAATTAGTTAGTTAATATAAATATATTGTTGAAAGTAGACACAGCATGCATAGATTTCTCTCTTTTAAATATATTATAATATTTTACAAGAAAACTTTCTCACCATTAAAACTTAAATGTGGAAAACTTATTTTATTTAATCAAAATATTTCAATAATGGTTTTCAAATTATTAAATTTATATTTTTTCTTCAAAATAAATGCAGTGCTATAAAATTTGAGTATGTTTTTCCTTTTAGAGTCTAGAACGTTTAAATAATAATTTAAGCTAAATAAATAAACATTAAAAGGCTAAGGCTTCAGTTTCCAACTGCTACTTGGTATATGAAATGCAATATGGAAGGAGAATCTAGACATGATTCGAATTTTAAACGAATTACTTAAGTATATATTTATACCTTAGTATAAAATAATAAGAATAATTAGCAAAAATTCTCTATAATTAACTTGAATGAAAAATAGATTTCATAGTGGTTATCAATCTTTTTGCCT